AGCTACATCAGATGCTGTGTGCATGTCTATTTAGTGCTGATGGGTGAAAAGAATATTCCCAAGAAAAAAGTGTTTAGCTTGTGTGTCACTGTCTACATTACAACCTCCTGTGCTCTGAAATTATCCTGAATGCAGTTGTTATTTAGGCTTAGAGCTTGCCAGTTTGGCAGGAGAGTACTTGTATATGATCACATTAGCAAATGTTTCTTTTTTGGTATTCAAATATCTGTCAAAAAGAGTAAAAGCCTTGTCTACTGACTTCAGTGACCCTGTTTTATTAGACCTAGGTGGTCTGAGGTATTTTTAGCACTGAGACTCTTGACATCAGCCTCCTCCTTCCTGTAGTCATCCCCTTTCCCACATATACATACCTAGATTAAGAGACTTTGTTCTCCACCCGAACATGGGACCTTTGGGATCACAGAAAGGCAAATTTCATGTCTTCTTTTTTTAAATATTGTTTAGTTATCAATGGATGTTTATTTTATTTATTTATATGTGGTGCTGAGAATCAAACCCAGTGCCTCACACATGCTAGGCAAACGCTCTACCACTGAGCCATAAACCCTGCCCCCAGATTTCACGTCTTCTCACAGAACCCAATAACCAGATATCTGGACAGGCTGATGGATTTTTTTTTTTTTTTGGGGGGGGGGTGGGGTGCCATCAGGATGGCACAGTGAAGCTACAGTATCTTTCTGGGGCTACAGACCTCTTGGGTAAGATCTTGTCCAATTGTTTTTTGTATCCTTGATGTTGGTGCTTCCCAAGTGCTTGCTAAAGCATGTGGATTTCAATAACATACAGCCTTCAGGTCGCCCCCACCCTACTGTTTGTGCTTTACCAAGTGTGTCTGCTCATTTTGTGGCAGAGCTTTTACTTCTTAAGGAATCTACACATTGTAATTTTCCTATGTAGAAGAAACATCTTTTCTTTCTTCTTCTTGTCTTTTTTTTGGTGTGGATCAAACCCAGAGCCTTGTGCTTGCTAGGAGAGAGCTCTACCACTGAACTATAACCAAAAGAGTTTATTTTCTTCTATAGCTAAGTGTATTTCCTCTTTCCTTTTTATTTCATTCTTTTATCTTTCTGTCGCTAATGCTGTGAACTTCTCTTTGGTTTCATCTGCCTTTACCTCTCTGCTCCTCTCTGGTGAAAGAGGTAACCCTTCTCTTGCCCAAGAGTAGTCTACCTCTTAGTCTAATCACCTGATTGCTTTTCTTCCTTCTCTTGGCCCTTTAGCCCTTCATTGATTCCCAGCTTCCCTTCTTTATAGTCTCTTTGTCTTGTGGGTTTCCTCTGCAGTCTCTGAATATGCCTACATTTATCTTGGTGATCCTCAGTGCTCTTTAGTTAACTGCCTTCTCTCATGATCAAGTTTCTTGAAAGAATAATTTATTTTTAGAATCTTGCAAGTCTCACTTCTCATTTCCTTTCCAGTCTGTGGTTATCAGTTGGTTTTCTTTTCTTTTTGCTACTGGGAAGTGAATGCAGGGGTGCTCTATTAGTGAGCTACATACCCAGTCCATTTTATTTAATTTATTTTTTGTTGGGAGCTGTTACTTGGGGCACTCAACCACTGAGCCACATCCCCAGCCCTATTTCATATTTTATTTGGAGACAGGGCCTCACTGAGTTGCTTTTCCTAAGGCTGGCTTTGAACTCGTGATCCTTTTGCCTTAGCCTCCTTAGCTGCTGGGAGGCCACCTCTCACACTCCCCATCCATTTTATTTTATTTTTTTTCTTTTATTTTATTTTTGAGTTATAGTTGGACACAATACCTCAGCTCATCATCTCAGCCTCGCACCTGCTGTCCTCCACACAACAGATGCCTCCTCCTGAGAGCATTATCCCAGTAAATAAATTCACTAGTTTTCTTGTTGTGAATTAAGAGACCCTTGCATTTGTCCTGTACTCCTTTTTCTCTCCTTCTCCTATTTCATTCAATTAATTGACACATCCTGCTAATTCTGTCAGAGTTCTGTCCCTTTCTTTTAAGTCTGCATTCTCATATCTTGCCTGTACTACTCTAGCAGTTTCCTGCTCCTAACCTTCTCCTTGCTGATCTGTCCTCTACACTGACTAGTACTACACGCGCACTCTCATGTGCAAATAACATCATAAAACCTCGCTGCCTAAAGACTCCAGCTGTGCCCCATTACATATAAAGACAAGACCAGATTCCTTACTTTGGAATATGAAGTCTTCCCTGTTTATTTAACTTGTGTGCCCTTATCTATCCCACCCCATCTTACTCCCACCCTTGACCAACCAAGCATTTTGTAGTTTCTCTAATGACATGGTGCATGCCTTTTTTTTTTTTTTTTTTCCCTTACAAGTTTCTTCTATTCCTTACTTCCTGGTAAATTCCTGCCTATTCTCACATCAAGATGTGGTACCTCACTTGAGAAGTCTCTCTGGTCTTGCCTCTGCCCCTATAGAGCTATCCTTCCATCATTGTAGCCCTCCACCCTCAGGTATAAGCCTCCCTTAAAAAGCAGGGACCACCCTGAAATTTCAATTTTTGGTTTTGCAGTTTTAATTCTCTGACCCAGCTATGGGCTTCTTGAGCATAGGTACTAATTAAGCCTTACTTACCTAACACTGGGAAGGGTAGGTGGTTTGCTTCAGTAAAGGTTACAGGCATATGTGAATGTGAAGAGCTTTTAGTAAAAATTGGTGAATCACCTACAATCTTGTTCCCTTTCAGGAGACAAGCCCAGAAAGCCAAGAGATAATTGTGGTGAAACCTCAAGATTTACTTTATATCTTACCTTCCCAGATAAGTTGTAATTAAAGGAATCGTTATAATGCAGATAGCAACAACTAATGTTTATTTAGCGCTTTATGTCCTGTGGAATGTCCAGAGGAGAAACATGAAGTAGGGAAGGGTGCAGCCTACTAGAGGAAGACTACAGCCCATGAACAGTCAAGCAGGGCTTGGGCCCCAGACCTTCTGATTCCAGAGCCTGTGTTCTTATCATTACACGCCGCCTCCAATGTGTCTACCAACATGTGATTTAAAGAATTAACAAAGTTCCTTTTTCAGAGGGATACTCTCCTCCATTGTCCTCATTCTCTTGTCGACAAAGAGTTCATTTACTTTATCACACACACAGGCACACACAGTGTGATGAACTTTTTGCTTCATGATTCCCTATGAACTCATAATTTCAAGGAAGGCAGGTGAGGTCTTTGTCTTCTGGGAACTTAGAATCTTCAGACAAGCAATACTGAATCTGAGAGAAATGTTTTTGATGTGCAGGAAATTGAATGAGTATGTGGTTAGTGAAGATTTAAATATTGTATGTGACTCATTTATTTGTTCAGCAGTCCTTGAGTCACCCAAAGAACTGTAAGACTGTTACATTCCCTTTTCTCATAGGGGTTGCAGGCAAGTAGTCATAGACAGGTATTAATAAGACATGTCTACCAAAGAGAATGACTTGTATTGCAGGTGTATTGAGGCCTAAGGTTAACCTGGGGACTTAGAGGTTACTTCCTCTAACTGGCCTTGTTCTTTCTTCTACAGGTCGACCAAGGGGTGCCTCCTAGTTCCTTCCAGCTTATCATGTCTTTTACTATGAAGGTGCCTTTGTTAAAACCATGAGTCAGGCAACAGAACAGAAAGTATCATTCTTTTATGTGAACTAATTATTCAATAATAAGGCTAAATGTTTCATTTATTATCTCTGTAAGCAGAGAGTTCAGGCTCAGAATGTCCATAATGACCGTCTTCCTCTGCTGTGGAAAACACCCATAGGTCACAGCTATGCTTCGTATTCTAGTGGGCTCTCTTAGTATCTTTATAGGTGATCTGATATTTGAGAGATTGGATTCTCTTTTTGATCATAAAAATCATCAATCCTCTTGCCCCCAGTACCAGTATTTGATGTGTAAAGCAGGAATAATAATCCAAAACTTCTTAAACCCTCAGAGGCACTGATTCAGCAAGGAAGCAGACATTCGTTGAACATCTGCTTCAGGCACAGTGCTGGTAGGGTACAGTACAGACGGGAATGAGAAGTAGTCCCTGCCCTTAAAGAATTTATGACTTCGGGGTAGAGAAGAAATCACCTGTGTAAGAAACTGTTATAAGTGCTGTCCTAGTAGTTTACCTGGAATTAGGGGCACATATGTAAGAGTAGCTGGTTTTACAGACTGGCAAGAGGGGAAATGAGAGGACAACATGGCATAAGGAAGAGGACCTGAGATTTAGAGTCAGAAAACCTAGGGTTTTAGAATCTAAGCACTCTACAGATTAGCTTTCTCTCTGATTTAGCTCTCTGTATTTGATTCTTTGAGCCTGAGTTGCTTTATCTATGTATTTTTTTCATTTTCTTTTTGTTACCCAGAGATTGAAAGCCACTGAGCCATATCTCCTGCCCCCAACCCTTTATTTTTTTCTTGAGACATGGTCTCACTAAGTTGCTTAGGGCCTCGCTAAGTTGCTGAGGCTGGCTTTGAACTTAAATCCTTTTGCCTCAGCCTCCCAACCTGTTGAGATTACAGACATGTGCCACTGCATCGTGGTTTTTTTTTTTTTTTTTTTTTGAGACAGGGTCTTCCTGTTTCCCAGGCTGTTCTGGGTTCAAGCAGTCCTCCTCTCTTAGCCTCCTAAGTAGCTGGGAATAGAGAGGTATGTGCCACCATGCCCTTGCCTCATGTACATAATAGGAATTAACAGTAGAGCTGGCATACACGTATAATCCCACATACCTGGGAGGCTGAGGCAGAAGGATCACAAGTTCAAGGCCAATCTCAGCAATTTAGCTAGGCTCTGAGCAACAGTAAGATCCTGTCTCCAAATAAAAAATAAGAAGTGCCAGGGAAGTGGCTTAGTGGTTAAGCATGCCTGGGTTCAATTCCTGGGACACATCTTCTCTTCTACTTGGAAGGTGTGGCTCCAGCGTCCCTGCTCACCAGCACTCTTGGGGATGGAATCTGCAGTACTGGTGTATCTTAACTTGGACCTTTCCTCCCTTCCTCCCTTGCACCAGATTTTATCATGTGGGCAACCTGTTGCAACTGGTTCTGCCTGGATGGACAGCCTGAGGAGGTCCCACCAGCTCCCGGAGCCAGGACACAAGCCTATTCCAACCCTGGGTACAGCTCCTTCCCATCCCCAACAGGCTTGGAACCAAGCTGCAAGGCCTGTGGGGCTCACTTTGCAAACACAGCCAGGAAGGTGAGTGCTGCCTTCTCAATCTGCTCTGTCCACAGCCTTAGGACCACAGGCAAGGCCATTGGCCTTGCTCTGAATGCCTGCCACGTGACCTCTACTAATGTGGTGCTAGGGACCCTGGCCCATCCCTTTTTTAAGGATGTTCAAGAAGGACTACTCAAGTAAAAGCCAAGCATCTCAGCATAGATTTGGAACCAATTGACTTGAATTCAGATAACAGCTTTGTCAATTACTAATTGTATGACTTAACCTCTCTTGAGATTCAGTTTCCCCCTTCTGTGAAGTGGGGATGACAATGGTAGTCATGTCCTAGAGTTAGAATAAAATAAGCTATGAAGAGCCCCCAGCATGATGCTCGGAATGTAACAGGCCCCAGTGTTGTTTGCTCCATTAGCTGCGATTGTACAAGGCCTGACTGCAGGTTAACCTGTTCTTTTTATCAAAGGCAATGTCAAGGATGTCTCAGGTGCATCCAGACCATAGTAGACAGAGGCTGGAGCTTGTTTACTGTAACAGATTTTCTTTTGAAATGCTTGGGAGCTGTGCTTCCCAGATCAGCAAGCAGGAAATGGAATCATTGGCTGTGTGAAGGTGTGGGTGTGGGCTGTCCCTTTTCCAGTGCCCAGCAGTAACAAGTTTTTTCTTCTGCAGAATGAGAGATTTGCACCCAAGAGAGGATGATAGGGTATGAAGTTAAAATGGTGGTAATGGGAAATTGAGAGAAATATTATTTTTGAAACCACCCAGTGTGTGTAAGAGTTAGTTTTAAGATTTAGATTTTTAATTTCCTTTAGATTTTTAGGTGTTTTTAAATTTAGATTGTTGGTTTCATTTAATCCTCATAGTAACCATATATAGGTTTTAGAGTCCACCAAGTCTCATATTATATATGATAAACTAAGGCTTACAGTTCAAAATATTAAAACTGTACCTGTCAACTTTTCTGACAAATAGCCAAAGAGAAACACACACACACACACACACACACACACACACACACACACACAACTTTTTTCTTTATTTAGCCAGTGCCCAAAAGCACATGACTATTAAGTGGCAGAGCTGATTCAAACACAGGTCCTGGATTCCAAAGCTCCCTCTCAGGAGACATTTAGCATGAGTTGATGATAAGTGACAGACCTCCGATAGGGAGACAGACAAATAGAGGCTATCCCTGCTCACCCAGGGAGCTTGCAGTTGGACAGGGAAGTTGGGGCAGCAAATACCACACAATGAGACCTGCCAGAGAAAAGCCACTATGGCAAGAAAAGCTTTGTGGGGGGAGATGAATCCCAATTTGGATGATGAAAGATGATTATTGGTAAGTTGTTTTCTTGCTGCAAAAGTACAAATTAATTTTGTGCAATTCACAATGAATTTTGTGGATAGTAAGGATGTTTTCTCCTATAAGAATTTTTCATTTGTAATTTCATGCTTAAGTGGATCAGCATTCTTATCTTAAGTGCTTGGCATTTAATAGCCAGAAGCTTTTAAAATGTCTTTTCTAGAAGTGGTTGAATTGCATTGATTACATGGATCCTGGTGTCTTTTTTTTTTCCCCCCCATTATGGTCAGTATTTTCTGCATGCCTATTGAGTGCAAAGTATAGATAACATTTAGGACTTTTTAAGAAAATATAAGAAAGAAGAACTCCCTGCATTTCCAAATTCCCAGTCTTTGAAAGAAGTGGCAGGCTGTAATTTTTTCATAAGCCATTTATCCCATCAGCATATAACACCTGCCTATAGTTAGCAATGGCCCTGGCAATTTTGGATTGTGTTTTGGCACCCAGCCTCTTTAGTTGTACCGTTTTGAAGAGGAGGGAGAAGTTGTGCTTGGAAACACAGGAGTAGTATACATATCTCAAGAGTGGAAAGAGAAGTGGTTCTTAGGTGTTGGGAAGAGCTGAGATGAGGCAGAAGGGAAAGAGAATAAAAGATAACTCTGTACCTTTAGCTTTATGTGAATTATCTCACATATAATATCCCAGTGGTCCTTAGACTGGTAGAGTGAAAAAGTGGGCCTGAGCAGTGCCAGGAAACACAGGCAAGGAGGGGATAGAGAAAGGAAGCAGATTGATTGTTGAGGATGAGAAAGCAAAGTACCCTACTTGGTATCCCTGAAGGGTAGTGCCCACCTGAGGTGCCACTGCCAGCTCTTGATGCTGGGTGTCTGAGTGTACTCTGGGCATTTCTGCAGGCCTGTTGCTATCCCTCATTCATCTTTCCCGCTAACTTGTTAATTGATTGGTTTGAACCATTTGCTAGAATTTACATATAGGGATTCCTTTGCTGTTCTGCCCACATTGGTTTACAGCTTTTTCCCCCTCTGCCTTTGCTCTCTCTGCCACCACACTCAACTCTGGGAATTTAGCCTTGAGCGCTATCCTCCTCCTCTAGAGTATTGTGCAGATGTTCACTTACTTCAGAGTCCCTGGTGGCAGGGGTACAAAGAAGCCAAGTTGCTCTCTTTCCATTTTGATCTTTCATCCAACAAGCCACACACATTTGTAGAATTCTTTGGATCTGGCTGATTGAGCCACATAGGCTATATAATTGTGTCAAGCTAGAGCTTGTCAGACTGCAATGACTTAAATAATGTTCATGACAGGACCACAGCTTTAAGACATTGACGCCTCTTCATTTCACTGTCAGCCATCCTAAACATTCCATTTTTCCATGGGAAAATTTTAGATATGAATGAACTCCAAATACTCCACCTGCGTGACTGCTGGTCCTGTAAGAACATTATGATGTTAGCACAGCCATGTGTTCTTTTCTGCCACTCTCTGCAGTTCATCGTCTGGTTATAACTGTGTGGAGAATAAAGGAGCTGGTATGTGTCCTTTTGCAACACCTTCTAAGTCTTAATAGCCCAAACTGGATGATTAATATGTCCTTTTCCCTTTATGGTAGGAATGATGCTTACACAAACACTACTGCAGCTGCCTTAACTATGTGGACTAGCTTCAGCACCACATAAGGTTCCTATGACCTTGATTATGAGATTCTTAAGTCTCTTGGGCATTCTTACATGGGTTGCACAGCTTCCTATATTTAGAAAAGAGGAAGCAAAAACATGCTTAAGTCATCACAGAAGGAAAGTGTTTAACTTCTTTAGAGGATCAGTTGAGGGTGCCCAAGAGGACAAACCCAGGGTGCTGGGAGGGAATTTCCTCTCCTGGGAGGGTGACCTGCCCTTGGCTGGAACTGAGCTCAGCCAGGTGTCACTGTGCTGGCGCAGCCTGCAGCTTGAGCAGCAAGGCTTTGCTTCCTGTGGGTCCAGCAAACTCTGGCATGCTGTTTGTGGTTGTGGGAGGAGCTGCCGCCAGGCTGTGCCAGCTTGTTTGTCAGGTGCTGTCGCCAAGACACTCTGTGTTTTCACAAAGGAGAGTGCCCTAGTGTCTGGGGCCTCTCATTGTGTCTAAATATTTGTCTTGGAAGTGACCTTATACACCACCTACCTCCCAGCACTCTGAGTGGCCTTGCTAGATTAGTGGAAGCTGGCACCAGCCTCTGGATGGGGCGCTGGCTTGGGCGTTTGGAGGTGGAAAGCCAGGCTCATGACTCAGTACTGCTGGCTGTTTGGATGATTCTGAGTGTGGCAGCAGGGCAGGGTGAGAGGGGCATAATCATGGGCACTGGACTCAGACCTCAACTGTGAACCTCAGCTCTGCTTTTCCTGCCTGACCTTGAACAGAATACTCAGTTTCCCTTCTTGTTGCTTTGCAAATCAGGAAAGAACCCTGATACGTACTTTTCGGGGTGCTTTGAGAATTCAATGACAAGCTAGGTATAGCTCTAGCACATAATAGCACCTCCATAAATTGAATTAATACTAATTAACAGTAGCAACACCTGCCACCTTAACTTTCACACATTTACCTTCTTTCCTTAGCAATAAAGTAGAAAGAATGACAGTTTAGGACTTGAATCCTGGCTTTTATCATTAGCCAGTATTTCCTAGAGATAATAACTAAAATCACTAGCACTTATTGGGAACTCATTACATATCAGATATACTTAAATGCAATAAGTACTGATATTACCCCATTTTATAGATGTGGAAACTAAGTGCCAGAGAGACAAAGTTATATACCCAAGGTGATAATCATGAAAAATGGGGAAGGAGGTTTAATAAAAATGCAGAGTATTTGAATTCCAAAGGTGGTAGTTTTAATTAATAGCTTCAGGTACCCTGTCAGTAAAACTAATTGAGAAGCTTTAAATAAAATTCTAAATGCCAAGTGTCCTGTACATGAATACATAGATATATACAGGTATCTTTGAGTGGCTTTTCATCTGGGTTCTGCAAAGTAGCTTGTGCCCTTGGATATAGGAGACAGCTTGTAACAAAGTGACTTGAAGGATCCTGCCAGGTGTGGTGGTCCTGCCAGATTTGTCTTGTTGCCTCAGGCTAACACATTTTCCTCTGCCTCTTGCTCTAAGCAGCAGACCTGTTTGGACTGTAAGAAAAATTTCTGCATGACCTGTTCAAGCCAAGAGGGGAATGGGCCCCGCCTCTGCCTTCTCTGCCAACGGTTCCGAGCCACAGCCTTTCAGCGGGAAGAGCTCATGAAGATGAAGGTGAAGGACCTGAGGGACTACCTCAGCCTCCATGACATCTCTACTGAAATGTGCCGGGAGAAAGAAGAGCTGGTATTCTTGGTGCTTGGCCAGCAGCCTGTAATCTCCGAGGAGGACAGGACTCATGTCCCAACCTTGTCCCCGGACTTTCCTGAGCAGCAGGCCTTCCTGACCCAGCCTCATGCCAGCACAGTACCTCCTACCTCACCCAGCCTCCCTTCTTCACCTGCACAAGCCACCTCTGTTCCTCCTCAGGAAAGTCAGCAGGTATGAGCCCATGTATGGTCCTGCCTCTCTGCTTACTGATGCAGGAAATATTGATTTCTGGACATCAGACTTGTGTTTGGGGTTTCTTCAGGGATGATGTGCATGGCACCATGTTTTGTGGTTTTTGTTTTTAATAGATATTATCCTAGTCAGACATTTTAAAAACTCATTGTTCCACAGATATTTTGAAGAACTATTCATTAGTTCACCATTAGCTCTGTAAATTTAGTTCTATTCATATTTGCGCTCCAATTTACCTATGGTCTTCTATAGCCAGATTGGGGACTCATTCCTTGGTAACCATCACAAGGCATATAGGAGAAAAGGACTCTAAGCAGGGAAGGAGGAGTTTCCTTGCTACTTTCCTGGTCACTGTGGTGTCCTTATCTCATGGGCCTGGAAATGGTAAGTTAAGGGTAGCATATTGACTGAACTGTGAGCTGGGCATGGGGAGTGCAGAAATGAGTGATCTCTATCCTCAACCAGCCCCTGAAAGAGAGAGGAGGATAGACCAATTCTTGGATTCTAGTGCAGCCAGTCGACTTAATTAATCCTAGTGTCAGGAGCAGTGGTGTCACACAGATCTACAGAAGTACTTTAGTGACCCTGATATCTATATGGGCAGTGGGAAATCAGAACTTAAATCTGGCTTCCACATTCTTTTTTTTTTTTTTTTTTGGCTGGGGATTGCTAGGTATTGAACCTAGGGTCTTGTGTTTGCTAAGCATGCACTCTATCACTGAAGTATCCCCCAGCCCCCTATCCACTTTTGTTCCTGACTCCTTGGTCACCTTGGAAAAACTTGCAACAATGACATGGGATCAGCAATCCCAATCTCCTTTTGATTTTGCCAGGATGGAGGAAGGCTTGAGTAGTGTGATACCATGTCTAAAGAGCTTTGAGCTTCAGGGCTGGTATGGTGCTAGCACTGTCCTTTCTCACATGTGACATAAAGTTGCCTCTTGTTATGATCACCTCCTTTGCCAGGACTGGGCACTCTTATTCAGCTCTTGACAGGCACTGAGGCATAAAGGCCAATGTGATCGCATAATTTTACTGCAGTAAAATCATTTAACTCTCTAGTTGGCTTGAGCATGTTTTTCTCCCCAGCTGGACTTTAACTCTTTCCAAAGCTCTTGGTATGCTAGACAGGTTTCACCTCTTGCAATATGTTCCTCTTTTTGCTCAAGTTTTGGAGCACTTCTCTCTGTTTAAGGGAAACAAGGAGAGGAACTTGAGGAATTATTTTTTTAGCGAGGGTGGGGAGATACTGGGGATTGAACCCATGGGTATTTAACCACTGAGCCACATCTCCAACATTTTTTATTTTTTATTTTGAGACAGGGTCTTGCTGAGTTGCTTAGGGCCTCACTAGGTTGCTGAGACTGGCTTTGAACTTCAGGTCCTCATGTCTCAGCCTCTTTTTTTTTTTATATATATTTTTTGTAGATGGACACAACACAATGCCTTTATTTTTATGTGGTGCTGAGAATTGAACCCGGGTACCGCCTGTGCTAGGCGAGTGCTCTACTTCTGAGCCACAATCCCAGCCCATGTCTCAGCCTCTTGAGTGGCTGGAATTACAGGTGGCACCACTACACCCAGCTTCAGGTGGATTTCTATTTATTTATTTTTTAAAATTTTATTTTATTATTATTTTTTGATATCAGGAATTGAAACCCAGGGGCACTCAACCACTGAACAAATCCCCAGAGTTAGTTACTTTGGTAGATTTTTTAAATGAAATATTATAAGGTTTTTGTTATTAACTAGAAATTTCCAGATGGCATCCACAGGTCACAACTGCATGCTGGTTGTTATTGAGTACTTTTCCAGAGGACCTGAGTGTCAACTCACTTTCCTTGTCCTGATGAAGTCTACATTCTACATTTAGCAATCAGGGCAGACAGGCATGGCCAAGTTAGGCACCCTATGCAAGGCTATTAGTTGAGTCTACAAGTGAGCTGTGCTCAGAATGCAAATCTTCTCATATTATTTGCTCCACTAGGGTTCTGTCCTTTACATTTAGTGCCGTAGTGACAGTTGCTAGGAAAGGAAAAGTCTGCAATAAACAGTGGACAGATATGAGCCGTGGATTTTGATTTAGCCTGTGGGCAAACTGGCAATACAGGAGCATGCTTTGTGGTATGAGGTCCAGTTTCTCTTTCTAGGAAACAAAGGACATACAAAAGCTGTCCACCAAGGAACAGGCTAGACTCTGAAAGACTCAAGAGAATGATGGACACCATGTCTACATAAGTTAAGAGAGCTGGAGATGTAGCCAGGCATGGTAGCACACACCTGTAAATGCAGTGGCTGAGGCAGGAGGATCGAAGTTCAAAGCTAGCCTCAGCAACTTAGTAAGGTGCTAAGCAACTCAGTGAGACCCTGTCTCTAAATAAAACACAAAGTAGGACTGGTAATGTGGCTCAGTGGCCAAGTGCCCCTGAATTCAGTTCCAAAAAAAGAAAACTGGAGCTGTAGATGTTGTTTGGGATTCATCCCTATACACATGTATGTTCTTGTCGTCACTGGCATATTGTCTTTGTTTTCATTTCCACAGTAGTTTGACTCTTTTGATGAGTGGCTAGGCCAGTGGGTGAATTTGGTTTCCCAAGTTATCCCTTTGTTGGTACTCTGAGGGTCTGGTTGAAAGGCTCTGAGCTCATACCAGACACATTTCCTGGAAGCAGCAGGGAGTGAAGAGGATCTAGTTAGGGATTTGTGGTATAAATAGTGATGGAACAGAAAGCTCAGAGCTGTAACTACTGTTTGGCAAACCCTCCCCTAGAGTAGCACCTAGGAGGCTCTTTTTGGGAAGCTAGAATTCTGAGTATTATGAAACTCTGCAAGCCTAGGCATTTGTCTTCTGTAGTCTTAGGTTGGTAGATTTGTAGATTCATTAAACGATGTTTGAACAGGTTTTGAGACACTCTTAGTGTGCCCTGCTGGTTGAAGCACATTTTGAAGATGTGAGAGCAGTGACCAGGCTGGAGACAAGGACTAGAGTGGTGAGGATCTAGGGACTATTCCCTCAGGTTCCATTGAGGAAGCCAGGGAGATTCAGAATGAAGGAGGAAGAGATTGTATGAGCCGTTTGGAAAAACAGTGGCCATTGTTCTGAGGGACAGAACAAGGGGCATTGGGTGAAAGTTGTGGAGAGGGAAATTTTGGATCAGTGTCAGGAGCAAACTTGGTGGTAGGGAGAGAGCAGTTCAGCAGTGGGATGGACACAGTGATTATGTTCAGGCTGATAGTAAATTGTGAGTGGGGGCCATTGCCATCTTGGTCGTGGGTAGAATTCACTAATACATTCTTATTCTGGAGGGCAGCTGTGTGTCTACTGAAATCTGTATAGTTTTCTCTGACTGACAGGTTTGGTGTAGAGAACAGGCATTTGTGACACTGTTGTGGGAAGTTTGGTCTCCGGGGGATATGGGAATACATTTTGGACATGTGAGCTGGAAAGAGTCTCATGCTATGCAAATTTCCTGGACATCTCTGTGGATGTGATGGCACCTTTCTCTTCCCCACAGGCCAATGGCCATGTGTCTCAGGACCAAGAGGAGCCTGTCTACCTGGAGAGCACAGCCAGAGCACCTACCGAGGATGAGACCCAGGTGGGGCCTCTACTCCGGTCTGCACCTTTGCCTTTGCTCTTTCACTGGTATTCTTGGGATGCTCTTAGGAGCCTCTTAGCCGACTCCGAGGTGGAGAGAGAAGAAACCAATCTGTGATATGATGGTCCTGAGGTTTTGTTCTCAGGGGAGTTTAGTGCTAGCATTCCATATGAATCTTTGGTGCTGTCAGTGTGTGAGTAAGCAGGGATGAGGTCACAGTGGAGACTGGAGCCTTGTGGCCCATTATGTTCCCGGTCTTTTGACTTTCTAAGAGCTGCCAGAGGGTAGGCTATGGGTGCTACTGTAAAAACCTAGTTGTTCTTTTCTTTTGCGTTCTCACACAGTAGCCATTGTCAGGAGAAGAGGGTCAGATAATGAGGAGTTAAGGCCAAGGCCAGTCCAGACAGCACAGCTGTCAGGGCCAAGAACCATGATTGAGGATGTGTATGGCCTCTTCCAGAGGCAAGCAGTACTCTCCCAGGCAGAGAGACAGGCGAGCACCAAGCTTGGGGGTTTCATGCACTGCCACATTTGATCTTCATAGGAACCTTGTATGGTAGCACTGCTTTATCTACTTTGTGGAGGGGCATACAGGCCCAGAGGAGAGAAGCAGCTTGCCAGGAATTATTTAACATTTAGATAGCAGAGGGGTCAGGTCAGAATTAGGGCCATCTGACTCAAGACCGTGCTCCCTGTATATGTTATACTTGATGGTTGTTTTGTGGCTACCTGCACCTGGGCACAGATCTGTGAGTCAGGAAGAGACTCTAGTCCAGTTTGCAGTGCAAAGGCCCATGCCAGGCATTCCTTTGTCTCTGTTGTTCCTACTCTTCTTGAGGTCCATCACCAAAATGCAGTGCAATGAGTGAGTTGGGGTCCTTGAAGAAAGGTGCTCGGAGGAAGCAAGAGCTGAACCCCCTCATCTCATCTTTGCCATTTCAGTCCATTGACTCTGAAGACAGCTTTGTCCCAGGCCGGCGGGCCTCTCTGTCTGACCTGACCCACCTGGAAGACATTGAAGGCCTGACGGTGCGGCAGCTGAAAGAGATCCTGGCTCGAAACTTCGTCAACTACAAGGGCTGCTGTGAGAAGTGGGAGCTGATGGAGAGAGTGACACGGCTGTACAAGGATCAGAAAGGACTCCAGCACTTGGGTGAGGGCTGTCTGGGTGGCAGCTACACAGAGCTCTAGGGTGTTTGCTATCATCCCAAAACATGATGGCATGACCTGATTCAGTTGCATGCTTTTAAGCTGAGGAGGAAGGCCACTTATATTTGTACCATCTAATCATAGCTGTCACTTGTGGTTAAGTGCCAAGACTTGGTTCATATTGTACACACTTGTTTCATCCTCAAAGCAACCTGAGCAGGGAGGGGGATTATTGGCATTACCCTCTTATTGTGGAGCTCAGGTTTGAATGGAGGATTTTCTAGTCTAAGCCCATGCCTTTCCTGCCATACGCCGCCTCCTCCATACTCACCCCTACTCCAGCAACACATGCATATTTGGGAGATTAGGAAGTGAATCTCAGCAACCACAGTGGGAGAACATATCTGTTCTGCCAGCACTTGGGCCATACCTTTTGTTCATTTCCCAAAGCATTTGACATCATTTTCAGGAGTTATCCAGTACAATATCTTAGTATGTGGTTGAGTCTGGGGAAATATTTAATGCCACACTGATTTCATGGTAGGTATTTTTTTAATACCTACCTACAGAAGAAAAAGGTGTTTGGCTGTTTTGAAGTCAATATTTCCCCCAAATTTTTCACCACCAAACCCTCACCTTCCTTCCCATTCCCAGCTGATACAGTTCCTACAGAGCTTTATTTGATTCCTTGCATAACAGTGGTTGAAGCCAGATGTCAGGCTCTCTTCTAATAAATTTAAATGGCAAAAATTCATCAGAGTTGAGACATCCAAGTACTCACCTGGTTGCAGACTGAGACCTACTGACATGGTGTCTCAGTTTTCTCTGAGATTCTCTCAAGTCTCCCTAGAGTTGCAAGGACCTGGGGAGTGGAATAATGACTGCATGTGAGAACTTTATCCAGAACCCATGACTGAATGAAACAGCCAGATTCTTCATTCTTTTTTTTTTTTTTTTTCTTTTTCTTTTTTTTTTTACTTGAATGCTGAATTCAAAGGCAATAGGAAAGGATGTGGCATATTTAGAGTGTCCTTCAGGTGGTTTTGTTCCTGCAGACTAATGGAGGACCTTCTTCTAAAAGTAGAGCAGATGCACCAGCAGGAGCTCTGTGGGAGTTCTCAGCATGCAGTGAAGGAGGAGGGCAAGTGTCTGTGCAGACTTTTGACAGGCCTGGTTCCCAGCAGGGAAGTGGCCAGAGTCAGAAATGACATGAGGGTGGTGGGCGACTTCCCTTGTGCCATCACACCATCACATATTTAGACATCTTTCTCTTTCCTTTTCAGTGTGTGGTGCTGAGGACCAAAACGGTATGTAGTTGTTTCTTTTTGGAAATGGGCTTAGGTTCCTCCTGATTCTGTCCTCCTCCCATCTTCAACCCTAATCCCTTTTGACATTCTTAAAAATTATGAGCATATGGGTTTCCAAAGAGAGGGTGTGTGGAAATTCACTGGGGTTTCTCAACATCTTTAGAAATGCTCATCCTCCTGTCCTCTGGGAAGAAAGCAGAGTGGCAGCGTGCCCAGGGGCAGATTGATCTTCACAGCTCTGGGCTGCCTTTTTGCCACAAGTTCTGCTCATTTTGTTTTTTCCTAATTCTGTGTTTCCACTCATTTGTGGTCTAGGTGGGAAAGTCACTTGAGATGTGTACCAGCTTCTGGTACCAACCAAAGAGAAAGGGTGGTGAACTGAAGGACTATTTGTACGGGGCTGGGCAGTAGTCAGAGCTGCTGTGGAAAAATCAGGATAGGAATCACCTGGATTTTGATCTCTGAGCACAAGGTGCATCTCCCATCTCAACTGCTGTAACCCACCGGTGTGTTGAGGTCCACCAGTGGGTACAGCTCCAGGATACACTCTTGACAATCCAGGAAGTATTCTAAACTGTGTTACATCATTTTGAAAGCCTCAAGGTCTAGGGTTGTGAGTTCCTTCCCAAGTAAACAGTCTCAAAGTAGTGTTGTGGTCTGCAAAGCATTTTAAACCTTTTTCAGAGCACTGTCCAAATTTGTTAATTAGTAAAATGGCCTTTTGCTCAGAATGGAGCAGGGAGTTGAGCTTTTCTGTTTCCTGAAACTGTCTGGAGGCTGGGTTCGTCCCTCACTTGGTGCCTGCCTTTTTTCCCCTGTTCCCTGGGAGAATGCTGAGGACTGGGTTGATGAATTTATTGTTGCTCCTGAAAAAAGGAAAAAGTAACTGAAGTTCTACAAAGTGATCCTGTAGATCTTGAGATTTGTAGGCCTTCCAAACCTTCCCTGTTAGGGCAACAGCCCCTCAAGAGAAGTAAATAGGTTTTACTCCCATTCACAGCTACCCACCTCCTAGGGGAGGTCTTTCTTGACTTTATGACTTGTTCAGAGAAGAGAAAAAGAAACTTTAGAAGCAATAGATTGAGAGACTGCCCCTGTGGAATGGTGAAGCCCCATATAGCAATGACTGGTATGAAACTACTTCTCTGTTTATGGTGACCCAGTTCAGGTGCAGTTTAAGACATGCTAGAAATAGCTGGAGTTTTGAACATGAAGATTTTTTTGTTTATGCAGCTGAACTAGGATACTGGTCATGCTTACCATATCCTACCACTGGCACAAGGCAGTTAGCATTTGCTGAGAACTCTGTGCACTGGGCAATTAATACTGTCTCAGTAGTCTCTACCCACAGAGCACTTATCCAGAAGGCTGTACTGCCAATGAGCAGCTGTGGGACCCGCCCACCTGGGTTTGAATCTTGGCTCGTCCACTTAGTAGCTGTGTGCTCTTGGGCAGTCACTTAACTCTAGCCTCAGTTGCCTTATGTATAAAATGAGAAAAATAAGTTTACCTACTTCATAGTTCCTGTGAGGATTCAGTGGGTTAATACATGCAAAGTTCTTTGGAGCCTGTTGCACATTAGACATTTGGTCAAGGTGAGCTTCTTCGATTCCCTTGGGAGACATTTATTATAAGACATTTCGAGAATATCTACTGAGTGACTTGTGATTTGGGGTTTCAAAGATGAATACGAAGCCTCAGCACATAGCAAATGCTAAGTATATGATTATGGAAATTGAGTATGTTAAATTAAATCTACTTAAGTCTCCTGGGGGGAGACTGATAAGTAGGCAAACCAAAAATAGAATACAATGTGAATAGCAGTCAGGGGGCCAGAAAAAATTTTGTGGGACTGGCACAGAGTGGGGAGTGGTAAACCGCTGAGCTCCTGCATCAGGAATTCTCAGAAAACTAGTTTATGGGATAGCACAGGAGGCCCCCATGATCTTTAACTTCCTTAAATTGGGAATGTGTTTATAGGTAAGCCTCATGGTTCCTAATGCACCATTCATTACAGTTCTGCTTATGTCTAAACTTCCTGAACCAGTTTTGTCTTTTCTGCATATTCTACCTCAGGGGATAATGAGTCCAAGTACCCCTCACTCACCATATTACACCCTCAGTTGTCTCATTTTGCGGGGTGGGGGGATCTGGGTGGGGGATACCAGGGATTGAACTCAGAGTCACTTGACCACTGAGTCACATCCCTAGACCTGTTTTGCATTTTATTTAGAGACAGCATCTCACTGAGTTGCTTAGTGCCTCACTTTTGCTGAGGCTGGCTTTGAATTTGTGATCCTCCTATCTCAGCCTCCTGAGCTAATGGGATTACAGGCATGTGCCACCGAGCCCGGCTTATCTAATTTCTTTTAAGCTTTGAGGACTTTGTCCTAGTTTCCATGCTCTGGATGTATTTTTTCCACAGTACTATCTTCAAATCTATAGTCTTGGGAGGAGGTATGGATTAAACAAGCAACTGGGATTAGTTGCTAAGTTTTCTGGAAGGAGCTCTATTTTGAGGGAAGTGTGTGAATTTGGGGGATTTCATTTTGCCAATTTTCTCCCACCTCTGTCCTCTGACTTCCCAAACACACTGAAATAATTTCTGAGACAATCTGAGACAATGGATACTCTGGTTCACTTTGTCCTCTGCCCATTTCCTGCACTGTGTGTTTGTACAGGGGGAGCAATGCCGTCTGGACTGGAGGAGAACCTGTGTAAGATCTGCATGGACTCACCCATTGACTGTGTTCTGCTGGAGTGTGGCCACATGGTAACCTGTACTAAATGTGGCAAGCGCATGAATGAATGTCCCATCTGCCGGCAGTATGTGATCCGAGCTGTTCACGTCTTCCGGTCCTAAGGGCTGGCACCGGCTTCTTCAGTGCCTTACAGGGATATAGCCCAGGGTATCTGGGCTCAGGGTTGGTCAGCTTGCAGAGGGGCAGGCTAACAGGAAATTTTGTAGTGTTCCCAAGACCAGGGCAAGCAAAGATGCCACGTCATACCTCGGCATGTCTGTCTTGCCATAGGGGTGTACCTCTTGGCTGGCAGAGCCCCCGAGGCCAGTGGGAACTGGTACAAATCACATGGGTGAGTGCCTGCATTAGTGATCTTGGGTGATGGTAGTAACTGATGAACAGAGGACTTTCCAGAACTTGGACCATGTCTTCCTTCCTCTGAGAACCTAGACACATTTTCACCCTTCCTCCTGTATCCCACCAGTCAGAAGTCCTCCTAGACCCAGCACATTTGGATTTAAACTTCTGGTCTCTCTGGCTTTCTGTGCTTTAACATACCTGTCTCTTGCTATACTGCCTAAAATCCGTTTGTTTCTTTGGACCAAAAATGTGTTAGTTTATGTGGTTAAGACCAACAGTGGTACTTAGGACAGAATTTGGATCAGTAAACTTACCTCTGGTGATAAAATTCTATAGGAAAATGTTATAGAAAATTTTCAATTTGTGCAGTCACTTCCTTAAGGGTTGGGATTGGGAGCTATCAATCTCCTAACCTGATCTAGGGAGCCAACAAAACATCTGATTCCCAAACAGCTGGGAAATCTAGTCTAGTCTGTGTGTGCAAGGGATGGTACATGAATACTCTACTGCTTCCTCTTTTGGGGCTTGACCTTGCAACATTCTGAACTTCAGATTATGAGGAAGGGGACGCATTTGGTGGAGGCAGTGGCTTTCTTCTTAACTTTGGCTTCTGATCCTCTTCCTACAGACAGGACTGTTAACCATTTCAATGAAATCTCTCCCTTTCCCACTGAGGTTTTAAACTTGGTCTCACCCAAGGCATAGACAGATTCAGGCAAAGAACGTTGTTCTCCTCTAGCCAGACTTCTCATGAAGTTCCTGGAAAAATACATGTAAGAGCACCTAACTAAACAGCTGGAAGTCCCTGCTTTAATTTCCTTTCTCATTCTGTAGATTTGGGAACAGCATTCTCTGAACCATTTATGAAGGGCAATGTAATGAGTAGGTAATGTTTTTGAGCCCTCCTACTGTTTTTATACCCCTGAATGAGCTGGATAAGCACAAAAGAGCACAGAACACACCTGCTGTCAGAACTGTGTGCGCCCATTACCAACAGATAAAACACACTCGAAATACCCAAGGGCCTTGGCAGAATCTCCCCTCTCCCAACATGCTGCAGCTGAGGTCCGAGACTAGAACCAATCAATTGTGATTCTGGAAGGCAGAGGAAAACTTCTAAGGGGACCTATTATCTTAGAAAGTTTTTCTATCATCAACCACTAAACACCTTAAGAGGCGTAGTTGGCAATGTTATTCTGGGCCACTCGACTCAACCTTATACCAAGTCAGAATAATCTGCGCCACAGTTGGGATCAGATTTTCCTGTCAAGACTCTGCCTTTCACCTTTCTGCTGAATAGTTAGTGCTGTAGTTTATAATGCCTACCAGTTTATCAAAGGGATTGATTCAGTTTCCTCAATTCCACTGTGAAACAGGTCTGTGTGTATGCAACTCAGTTAGATCTAGCAATAACTTCAAGGCTCTCCCTCCTTTCTCTGCTGAGGCCTCATCTCCCCTACCTCCCAACTTTCCTCCTAGATAGATAGGAACTGAAAAAAATATACTGGTGGCTGGTTGGTGACCTCAGTAAGAATTGGAACTGGTGCCACTCAGTTTTAAAAATAAGAACTTGCCTTTAAATCTCATCTTTTGGTGAAGATTTCCATTGGGGAAAAAAGATGTCAAACAACCGATTTGTTTTTGTATTGTCTTTATTATTACACCAAATAAAAGTTGGGAATTCTAAGATCCCATTCCAGTTCATATTTAACCCAGGTAGAAAACCTGCTTTTTTTATCCTTGAGCCTCCCCTTTTGTCCCTCATGGATCCTTGGTCTTAATTATCACAGCAACATCTAATTCCTCTAGTTAGTCTGTGGATTTTGCTGTGATTGCTGAGATTTCAGTTGAGACTTGTTTTAAAAGACTTGGACAGCTGACTGGTTCATAATACCTTGGAATAGTTGGATCCAAACTAATAAGAATAAGCTGTACAGGAATTAGTGCTCAATATATATTGTATAAATTTGTTGAAATCTCCTGGATGTGAATGTGTTACTTCAAGTGGCTTATATTAAGATTCTCAGACTCACTTGGGTGTTAAAGCAAACCCAAATGTGTATTTTTTGTTACAGAGCTCTGCTTTATAATTTTGTAATAAAGTTTCAACATAGATGCCTGTTGGATCTGGTGTGAGGATGCCAGAGGTCTGCTAGATTATTGACAAACTGATAAACTATAGGTAAATCCAAGGCTATGTGCACAAGGGTATGCTCTTGAGAGATTATTTTTGGAAATGTTGGGCCATGGGACCTTGGTCAGTATCCCTGCTCAGAAGCAGTATGTGGAAGAGGCCATAAAACAGCTGGGAAAGGAGAAGAAGCTGTGGTAGGGAAAGGATGAATCCCTAGACCAAACGTGAAGAAGCACCAAATGAGTTCAGATATTTACAGTAATCTAGTTAGTATTGCTAAGCACTCAAGATCTAGGTAGAAAGGAATCGGGGACAGCCAGTGTAGCCAGTAAAAGTCTTCAGGTTACCCTGGCAGGTGTATGGTAGCTTTTGGGTACAGTCGTGGTATGGCTGAAACGGCTCAGAAAAGATGGGCCCAGCTTCAAGGGTAGACTGCGTGTGCATAGCCCTGCACATTCTTTCCTGACCAGCTGCCCAGCGGGAGGAGAGTGCAGCCCTTGGGAGAGTAGGATGATGTGGGTACATGCCCTGTGGTTGAAGACAGAAGAGGAGGGAGACTGGCCCAGAGGAAGGTTTGAGGCTGAGGCACATCATTTGGTTATCAGTGCTGTGGACGGTACCCAGTGGTGACTTCTACCTGTTGCCAGCCAGCAGCATGTAAAGAACAGCTGAAAAGGGGGCAGGTGGCCAGTGGCCTGGGGAGGTTTAACATGGTGATGATTAGGGTCAGGTAGAAATAAAGGATATAAGATTGTATATACAGTCTAATCTGTGCAGCAAAGAAAAAGATGCACCCAAGACTGGAAGGAAACATACAAAAGACTGATGAAGGTAAATTGAAGCTGATATCCAGGAAGGCAGAGAAGGGTCAAGGGCTGAGCTTGTGGCTAAGATCATGGCTTGTGGCTGGGAGGCTGCCCCGAGGACGAAAAGTCAGTGCCTTTGGCAGAACTCTGAGGGAAGCCTTGTTCTGTCCTTGCCCACTTGCTTGGCCTGAGGCTGGAAATCTATGTAGGCCATTGCTCAGAGGAGCAGCTTTGTGTCCATAGGACAGACTAGGGTGTCTTAGTCCCAATACTGAAGCCAGACTGAAGGGTGCCAGTTCCAAAACACGAGGTGTCCTTCCCTAGCAAGGACAGCACCTGCACCACCTCCCTAACCCTTCCAGGTGGAAACCAAGGTTAGATCCAAGCTGGCCTGTAAGCAGCCTGACTGGCAGCCTCCCATACCTTAGCTGAGTACATGGGGCAGGGGGGTGTGGCCCTCTATCTTACAAGTTCAGATGCTCACATATTTAAAAGGGTAAACCCAATTCAGGAGGTAGACAAACAAGCCTGCTAATGCAATAAGGAAAAAAAGCTCATTCTCATGAGGTGGCAAGACTGAGACAGAAGCCAGTCTATAACCACACAGAATCCTGATGAGCCTGCAGTCAGAGCAAGGAGAGGCATAGTTGTGGGTTCTGCAGTTAAAAGCCCTCCTGGCCACACAAACCAAAGGTGACATTCCCAACTCTACATATTGTGTGCCACGTTCTGACAAGTATCTAAGGTCACTGACAGCCACCCTGTGATTTAGGAGCAATGCATTTCCCCATTCTATAGGAATTGATGCTCACATGGTTAACTTGCTAAGGTTATAGCTATTAAATTTCGACTATTGACTTGAAGCAGGTCTGTCTATACCTGTCCATTGTGTTGGTCACTACTGACTTGTGGCCATTTGAATTAAGAAAACAACCTCAGTTCCTAAGTTATGCTAGCCACTTTTTTTGGAGGGTGGGTACTGGGGATTGAACTCAGAGATGCTTTACCACTGAGCCACATCCCGACCCTTTTTATTTTTTGAGACAAGGTCTCACTAAGTTAGGACCTCACTGAGTTAAGGCTGGCCTTGAACTTGTGATTCTCCTGCCTTAGCCTTCTGAGTCATTAGGACTTTAGGTGTGCACCACTGCACCCGACACTTGTCACATTTCAAATGTTCAACAATCATATGTAGATTCAGAGGATATTTCCATTTTATCCATTGCTGCAAAACTAGCTACTGGTACCACTCATCTATACAAACTGTTTTCCTTTTGTTCTTCAAACAAATCAGTCACAGGTGGCACAGGAGCTAGCAGGTCTTTGTAAGCAGGGCATGTAGACTTGTACTGAGGTGTGGATTTGTATTCTTAAAAGGCAGTTGTTTCCAGATTTTGAGAAGGCAGGTTTATCTTTTTGGAGCCTCTATAACCCCACCCTAGTAGCCCAAATAACCTCCCTCCCCATATACAGGCCTCATTTCCACCCAATCCTAGTCCCTCCCCTGTAATAGAGAACACAGAGAATAAAGTCATCAAAATTAATTTTGTTCTCTTTCAAAAGATAGTTAAGTTTTGCCAAATGTAAGATGCATATCTTGGGGTGGTCTTTTAAATACAGCTTTAAAAGGAATGGAAGTAAAATGAGGCAGCGAGAAGTCTGCTGCCAGCTTTAGTAGCCCAGCCTTCACTCCTTGACCACTAAGGAAACTAAGGGAATTGTGGGGGGAAGGACAGATGCTGCAGGATGTTTCATTTATAAAAATAACTAAGCTTTTTGAAGAAAACAAAAGTGACAAAGCCAGCACCCAGATTTGAGATCTGCTTAAACAGCAAGAGAAACTGACTTGTGCCCACAGCAAATAATTCCTACTCCAGAAGACTTGGCAGATTTTGGAAGATTGCTGCCTGAAGATGAAAGGACATCCTCCTGTTCCTCCACCTACCTGCCTCCAGGCTAAGGCTGGTAGAGTAGTGTGGTAAGGGAGAGGATGTCCCAAGGGGGCAGGAAGACCTGAGTCCTAGCAGGGAGCTACCAGCCTCCGTTTTCGTATACATGCCCAAATCCACTCTGGGGAGACCAGCTGGGCCTCAGGGTTCTTGTCCCTGCTACCCAACACATGTGTGGCTGAGGCAATGTCAAATTCCTGCACTAGGTCCCCATCAAATGCCACAAAGTAGCGTCTGAGACGGCTGAAGTCTGGGGTGGAGGGTGGCAAGTGGAGCCGCACCCCAGTGAAGACGTCCAGCAGCACCTGCAAACACAGAGGGGTCAGGGTGGGGTTGGCATGCAGGTGGGTCTTTACCCAATTTAGTATAATACAGTTCACTTAGGACAAGAGCCAGAGATGGAGGAAGCCTAGTTTAGGACTTAAGTAGAAAGTGCATCCTGGAGAAAAGACACTGGTGCCAATCTGCCCCCCGCCCCCAAATCCTCCAGTCACTCTGGATGACACAGGCCTGACATTCCTCCCTTCCCTGCCAGGTGATGAGGAGGAGGAGATGGGTTCCAACATTTGGGACCTAGATATGGGAAAAGGATGTGTCTCTAGGAGCCAACCAGTGGCTGTGACTCAGTGACCTGCCCTTAAAGACCACAGTCCACTGCACAGGTGGGTAGACTGCAGGGTCAGTAGTCTTGCTCATTACTATGCATAGGTTCAAGGGCTTCAAGGAAGGGACAAGAGAAGGAAATGGTTTCTACTGGTCTGCTGGGAACTGGGTTCATGTTATGAGTTGTCAAGACTTCTGTGCTTCTCTTGGGGGGGGGGGCACAATCATTCTAGGGATTAGCTTTACTTCTCCCTCCACCCCTTGGGCCAGCAGTTCCTCGGGGTTGAGCCAGTGCTAACCCAGCTCCTGGCCTCAGCAGGTGCTCAACAGATATTGCCAAACAAGACTGACAGAGCATAAAGGGAAAAGGCTCCTCCACTGGAGGAGAGTCATCAAGGCAGTTCACTCTCCCTCCTTGCTGGCTGGACCTGCTCCCCCAACCACAGACTCACGCTGCACCCCACACCCAGACTGGGCTTTCTCCCCTTTAATGTAAATTTGACTGGGGACTGGCAGCTGGGCTCTATCTCCTGCCTGCTGGCACAGCTCTCCTTCCTCTCTGCCGGCTGGCTGGCCGCCTCTGCAAGGTAACCAGAGGGCACAGTGTGGAGTAGCTGCACGCTGGCCTGCCTGAGGGAGGAGCAGCTGTGGGAGGGGAAGGGCTTAACAAGCCTCCCCCAACTCCTCTGCTCATCTTTCAAAGTTCATGTGCACAAGGCTGGAAACGCTGGGCCCTGGCCAAACTGGCCTGCCTCTGCATTGTCATTGCACTCACCTTTGCTTGGTATGGCATCTCATCAGTAGCTTTCCTCTTCTCTCCAACTTTCACTGAAGACTTTGTGGTAGGCTTATTGCCTGCAGGACAAAGTTGTGGATGAGAATTAGGAGAGTAAGAACTGCTGATCATGGTTCCTAAAGTTGGGCCAGATCCTTCCCCTGCCATGAGCATGGATGAGAGGGAAGAGTTATCAGCCCAATGCTTTAGCTTAAAAGTGGCTTAGTCCCCAGTCACACCAGCTCTCTGGTGCACTATCATTCAGGTTTGCTGAGCTGATAAGGGGTGCCTAGCAGAGCAGCTTCTGGCCCATGGCTGGACACACACTAGGAATGTGATCATTGTCAGCTGCAGTGGATACATGATCACATGTTCTCAGAGCTGGAATGTGAGATTGGGTCCCTGCCCCTACGCCCCCCGGACCCCCTTCTTTATCCTGGCTACCTTTGCTGTTGGGGATCCTCAGCTTCCCTTCAGCCTTCCGGGCACTGGGAAAGGGTTTGTTGGGGGAGGCTCTGGGGACCTTGCGGGATGCAGCAGACCCAGAAGTGCCCTCGTTCTCGCCATTGCTGCCTCCTGTAGTGGAGCTTCCCTCATCTCCAGCCACCACAGTGAAGTCGGCCTTCTCCTTGGACAGCTGATACAGTTCCTGAGGAGGAGAAGGTCAGGTGCTATCACTCCCTTCCCCAGACACGCCTCAGAGGGTGCTGTGTGGTCTGTTTTAGGCACGCGTGGCTGGGGAAACAGGTGAGAAAGACAAAGAGCAAGGAGAAAAGGAGGTGGCTTCCTTGGTGCTTTTCCAACATGGAGCCTTCACCCGAGTAACTGGTACAAATCCCTGTTCTCTT